CATACATAGAGTTTCTCCCCAGTGTGAGTTCTTTTGTGTATGTTACAATAACCTTGAGACTGAAAAGCTTTCCCACACTGCTTACATACATAGAGCTTCCCCCCGTTGTGATTTCTTTCATGGATCCGAACATCACTGGATATGCTGGAGGCATTCAAGTTTTTCTTACACACAAAGGTCTCTCTAAGGTGAGTTCTTTCACTAAGATAGTGGTAGGATTTCCCACATTGATTATATTCATAGGGTTTCTCTCCAGTTTCTGTCCTTGCATCCTTCTGAAAGGACTGGAGATCACCGCAGGTTCTTCCATTTTCATTACATTTATGTAGCTTCTCTTCCCATCCCAAGCACTCAGATGGCTTCACTCCAGTGTGAGCGGTGATGGCCACATTTAGTGACAAGTGCCCAGTCAGGGGCTTTTTGCAAGCAAGGCCCTCAGGTGGTTTTAAACCAGCTTGTTCCTTGTCTACATTAGCATCTGGAGTATAAAGAAATATTTCTTCACATTCATTCCAATCTTTACTTTGATAACATTTCTCTACCTCTTCATTTCTGTGAAGAAAAAAGTCACAATAAAATGGGTCTCCATATTAATGATTTAACACATGTTGTGGTTTGATGCCTCCTAAGACATTCGGACAATGAATTAACTGAGTGTCCTGGAAGATACCTTCAAAACAGCTGTTCCCAAGAGTGGCATTAATTTGGGAATTTTAAAATTGTTATGTTTTGCAATACAGAAAGAGTAGTTTCATTTTGGGCAATTGGTACATATGTATATCACACATTGATCATTTTGATACCTTTCCCCATCTCTCCCCCTTCTCTCCTTATCTCGCTTGTCTTCCCCATCTCCAAAAAATCAGCCTTTCCTTTTTAAATTGTTTCTCCTTTATTTTACTCTCTAATTTATATTTTTGGTTTCTCATATAAGAGAAACCATCTGACATTTTACTTTCTGTGTCTGACATTTCTTTTTTTTTCTGACTTATTTCTCTTAACACTGCAGGATGAAGGTCTACCCATTTCTTTTGGCAAATGACATGATATCCATTTTTATGGCTGATTATATAGCACATTTTTTTCTTTTTCTTTTCAGTGCTGGGAATTAAACAGGTTTTAGCACTGAATCACATCTCCAGGTTTTTAGTTTATTATTTTGAGAGAGATTCTCATTAATGATTAAGTTGCTCAAGCTGAGCTTCAACTTGCCATCCTGGTGAATCAGCTTCCCAGAGTGCTGGGAATGCATCGTTACACTGAGCCTATCAAAAAATTTCTTTATCCATGCATCCAATGATGGAACATTTAGGCTGATTCCAGGCCTTAGCTGTTATAAATTGTCCTACTTTGAGTATGTGTGTGCATGTATCAGTATAGTATGATTTTAACTCTTTTGGAACTATACCCAGGAGAGAGATTTCTGGATCAAATGGAACTTCTATTTTTACTTTTTGAAATATCTGTATACTGACTATCATAGTGGCTATACTTAACATTCCCATCAACAGTGGGAAGGAGACTGGCTTCTAAGAATTTTAGAACGTGAACAGACTCAATTCTTTGGAAGATGGCTTGAAAACACTTGTTATTACAACACTAGCATTCATGTGTACTTTGAATGCTGCTTCAAGGTTAGAAATTTTTAAGATTGTCTCATATTCACATGTATACAAAAATAGCCTGAAGATGGGTTTATGTCAAACTCAAAATACATCTCTTTGCATATACACCTACACACAACACTGAAGGGAAATTTCATACATTTTCATGATAGTGATCGTAAAAGAACATTTTTTATACTTACATGTCAGTGTCACATGTTGCATGAAATCAATAGTTTCCTATATTGGAATATTTCTGTATTCAATTGTCAGATTACACATACTAAAATTATACACTTCATTGGAGAATATTGAGCGATTAAATAAATTTGAACATGGCCACATTTCCCTGGTTGTGATATTTCTGTTCACACACTGATTCTTCAGGAACATTTTTAATGTAATTTACCTTAGATTTCTCCAGTAATTTTTGTACTCTTCTCCAACTTTTTGATCCCAGACTGTTCCTGAATTACAGACATAGAAATATAAGGAGAAACTATATTATTACTTTAAAATGAATACGACTCCAGTTAGATTCATGGTATAATGTAACCAGGCCTGAGATATTCTTCAAAATGTTTTCACATTCTATTTAATGAAACTGCACTAATGAGCAACAATGTTCTCTGGTTGTATAAATGAGAACGTGATGTCATCCTTACCTATGGCAGTCATGTTCCTAAAGGTTTCCCTCATCACATCTCTGTAGAGCTTCTTTTGGGATGGATTCAGCAAAGCCCACTCCTCCATGGTGAAGTTCACAGCCACATCCTTAAAGGTCACTGCCTCCTAAATACACATATGTATTTCTTGAAGGAATGTTGAGACTCACACCCTGGGATATCTCAATTCCTCTCATAAAAAGTTGAATCAAGATCTGGGTGTGGTGGTGCATGTCTGTAATGCCAGCACTCAGAAGGCTGAGACAGGAGGATTGTCATAATTTCTAGACTTGTGTGGGCTACACAGTGAGTTCAAGGCCAGCCTGAACTGCATAGTGAGACCATCTCAAAAAGAGAAAACAACAAAAAATCTGACGGGCTGAATCCTTCAAATAGTAACTGTATGTCTTGGTCATCAAATCCATGCGTACGCACATTTTTTTCAGATGGCAATTCTAAGGCTAGATTGCCACTCAATGCTAAAGCTACAGCAGAAGAGGAGCACTGGTCCTCCTGGGGTCACTGCAAGGGAACCTGCGCACTGATCCACAGCCTTAAAGCCCTAAAGCAGAGCCAACAGCAAGAGCCTACAAGGTCACCAGCCACGAAACACTGGGGCAGGTAAATAGCTAATGAATGGTTCTGCTGGACCATCGGTAATATCTCTTTTCAAATCTTATTATTTATGGCATTGAGCCTTTCTTTGATTGTACTTAGGCAGCATTTTGAAACTTGAATTTGGTTTCATAAATAAAACATAATTGAACATCAAATAATGTTTATGAGTAATAATTAAAATGTTAATGGAAAAGGTTTTATTGGAACAAGGCTATAAACATTGAAAGTAAGGAAAAAGTGCCATTTTTATCTTTTAACTCAGTGTCTCCACATGGTCACCTTGTACTCAGATGTAAGAAATTCAAGGGGGATATGAGAGGGTAATAAAGGAGAAGAAATGAATAAAATGTATTATATGCATTGGAAACCAATATATCACAAAGTAATTAGGCACAAAGTAAAAATTTCAGCCAGGTGTGGTGGTGCATGCTTATAATCTCAGCACTTGGGAGGCTGATGCAGGAGGACTGCCGTGGAGTTTGAGGCCAGCCTTGGCTACACTGTAAGTGCAAAGGCAGTCTGAAATACAACGTGAGACCTTGCCTCAAACTCCCCCCAAAAAAGGGTAATTTCAAAAAACCTGTCACTTATGAATGACATCTTTGATTTGTTAAAAATTTATAGCTGTAGAGTATAATAAAAATCTAACAACATTCAATACCATTTGAGCAAGAAGGTTGATAGCTTACACATTATACATGATAGGAGACTGTACTATTATTAGGGAGAATGACAACTGGAAAATGGCAACTCAAAAAGGAAGACAGTCTTCATTGGATCCACATATACATAAAATACTGATTCATAACAGAGCTGATGTTATTTGTCTCTGGAGGAAATCAAAACCTGTTTCATTGATGTTCAGGGAGAAACAGATATGTACTTGGGAACCTGGATTGTATACTCTTCTATGTGCAAATTATTAAGTTACATAATGAAATGCAAAAGACAAACTTGAATGCCTTGAGGATATATGGTGAAAGAACTTAGATGTGAAAATGTGTTCCTTCAGAAGAAAATCAACTAACCATCAGAATTAGAAGGATAAATAGAAATTATGAAAATCACAGGAAATAAAAAAGACAAGAAAATATTTGCTGTGTACACAGTATAAAATTTCTATACAGGGAGTAAAGATCAATAAACAAAAATCTCAAAAAATGGCTGCAACCTATCTAAATCTAGAGAAAACACCAAGTAGAAAACAAGAACCAAATCTTTTTTGAGAAAAATCATTAAAGAAAAATGGAAGTATGGAAGAATACAATCAGGAAGTAGACTTTGGCAAAATGGAGAATAAAATGTCCTGCTCCATCAGGCTTGCCCTGCCCACTTGCATCCAGTAGACCATGAGGACACCCCAGGGCAGGCACACAGGCTGTCAGTTGGGCCTTGTGGTCAGACGTGGGTGGCTGCACCCAGCTCCATCAGGCTTGCTCCACCCACTTGCATCCAGGAGACCATGAGGACACCCCTGCCCCCCCGCCCCACAGGCCCACCAGCTTGGCTGCACAGGTGCCTGTAACAACAGTCACCCTCACTTCTGGCCTCTTGGCTGTGCAGCTACCTAGTTCCATGCTACAGAGGCACAGGGGGACATAAAGGCCACTGTCCTGAGTTGCAGAAATGAACAACAGAGAGAAGGCCTCAGGCTCCCTGATGAAAACTGAAGCCCACTGGAAAAGTGAAGAGAATCTCTGCAATATAGGCACACCAGGCCACCGTACTTGGTAAGCTGCAGGGATCATCACCTCCCATTTGAACCTGGACTGTTTTGGGGGGAGGGACAGCTGGAACCTGTAGTGGAACCTTCTGGAGTACAGCCCTGCAGGAGGACAGGGAGCTCAGTTTGGGACTTGCAGCTAGAGGTCGGTCTGGGTTTCGTGGGTTGGTGGCTGGCTTACTGAGACTCATTGACTTTTAACTGACAGTACCAAAAACTAAAATGAGAAGACATTTAAACAAGTCACAAACTCAGACCTCCACCCCACAAAAGGCAATTTCTGGGGAAAATGAGGTGGAAAAGTCTGATAACCACCTGGACACCCTGAACTGATAGAAGAGGAAGTAACAAAACAGATGAATGAGGCTCTAGAAAAATTCAAAGCAGAAATAATCTCCCAGATAACTACAGAGATGGTGAGCAGAGTGAAAGACATAATTACAAGCTCTGGAAGAGAAACGGATAAAAAAATAAATGAGCCTAGAAACATGCTTGAAGCCATGAATGCCCACCATAAGAAACAAATAGAAACCATGATTGCCCAACATAAGAAAGGAGAAAATACAAATGACATAAAAAACTGTTCACAGAAGTAATAGTAGAAAACTTCCCAGACAGAGGTGGAGAATTAGACATACAGATAAATGAGGCATATAGAATGCCAACCAGCCATGATCAAAAAACAAAATCTACACCTAGACATAAAATAGTCAAGATCCCAGAAACCCAACAGAAGAACAAAATCCTACAAGCAGTTAGAGAAAAGAAACAAATCAAAGGAAAACCCATCAGAATCATAGCAAACTTCTCAACACAAACCCTCAAGTCAAGGAGAGTCTGGAGTGAAGTATTTCAAGCCCTAAAAGAAAATAACTTCCAACCTAGACTGTTGTATCCTGCAAAATTATCTTTCAAAATTGATGGGGAAATTAGATACTTTCACGACAAACACCTGAGAAATTTCATGAATACCATACCAGCACTCCAAACAATCCTAAGCAATATCCTAGAAAAAGACAATGAAGATCACAACTCCATGAGGCCCAACAGAGGGAAGCCACCAGGAAAGGTAAGAAACTAAAGGGAAAGGGGGGGAAAAAAAAAACCAAACAAGAAATAAAAGAGCCACCAATAGTAAAACATCATGACAAGGATGAGTCAATATCTATCAATTATAACTATTGATGTTAATGGTCTCAATTCACCTATCAAAAGAAATAGACTGACAGAATGGATTAAGAAGCAAAATCCAGCCATATGCTATATACAAGAAACATACCTAACTCAAAAAGAAATACATAGACTGAAAGTAAAAGGATGGATAACAGTTCTCCACACCACAGGAACCCAGAAAAAAAGCAGGGGTAGCAATTTTATTTACAGACAAAGTAGATTTCAAACCAAAACTAAGAGACAAAGATGGTCACTACATCTTTGTGAAGGGAACAGTCCAATATATTTACATTATAAATATATATGCACCAAATACAAATGCTCCCAACTATACAAAAGAAACATTAATGGACATGAAAAAACAAATAAGCACTAATACAACTGTGGTGGGGGATCTCAGTACCCCATTATCACAATTAGACAGATCATCTAGACAAAAAATTAACAACAAAATTCTAGAATTGAACCAAGCTATTGAACAAATGGACTTAATAGATGTTTACAGAATGTTCCACCCCACGAAATCAGAATATACATTCTTTTCAGCTGCACATGGGTCATTGTCCAAAATAGACCACATGCTAGCTCATAAGACATGTCTAAATAAATGTAAAAGAACTGAAGTTATTGCCTGTATATTATCAGACCATAGTGCAATAAAATTGGAGATCAGTAGCATAAGAAACTGCAAAACCCCCACAAACACATGGAAATTGAATAACACTTTCCTGAACAAACAATGGGTCACAGAGGAAATTAAAGAAGAAATTAGAGAGTTTCTACAAGTAAATGATAATGCCAGTACAACATACATGAATCTGTGGGACACAATGAAAGCAGATACAGGAAGGAAATTCATAGCAGTGAATGCCCATATTAGGAAAACAGAACTCAAATAAACAACCTAATGCAGAACCTCAAGCTCCTAGAAAAAAAAAAGTATAACAAACCCAAAGCTTGTACAAGAGAGGAAATTATAAAGATCAGAGCAGAAATCAATGCAATGGAGACTAACAGAACGATACAAAAAATTAATGAATCAAAGAGTTGGGTTTTTTAAAGAATAAATAAAATCGATAAACCCTTAGCCAACCTTATCAAAACAAGGAAAGAAAAGGCTCAAATCCATGCAATCAAGAATGAAAAAGGTGAAGTCACAACATATCCAGCAAAAGCATCATCAATACCTACTTCAAAAACCTGAACTCTAATAAAACGGAAAACACAGAAGAAATGGACAGATTCCTAGATACATATGAATTACCAAAGTTAAATGAAGAAGATATAGAAATTCTAAACACCCCAATTACAA